TTTTTTTGCCTTGACATCTGCTGGGAGGGCGTTCCACAGGGCGGGCGCCACCACTGAGAAGGCCCTCTGCCTGGTTCCCTGTAACCTTGTTTCTCACAGGGAGGGAACCGCCAAAAGGCTCTCAGAGCTGGATCTCAGTGTCTGGGTTGGACAGTGAGGGTGGAGACGCTCCGTCAGGTCTACTGGGCCTATGAGGCCGTTTGTGTGAGTGCCTGGAGGTTGGATGGCAGCTTACAGATTGAGGTTGAATCCTGACAAGACAGAAGTACTCTTTTGGGGGGACAGGAGGCGGGCAGGTGTGGAGGACTCCCTGGTCCTGAAAGGGGTAACTGTGTCCCTGAAGGACCAGGTGCGCAGCCTGGGAGCTCCATCTGGTACGCAGGATGAGACCCTATCTGCCTGCGGACTGCCTCGCTAGAGTGGTGCATGCTCTGGTTATCTCCCGCTTGGACTACTGCAATGCGCTCTACGTGGGGCTACCTTTGCAGGTGACCCAGAAACTACAACTAATTGAGAATGCGGCAGCCAGACTGATGACGGAGTGGCTGCCGAAACCATATTACACTGGTCCTTAAAGACCTGCATTGGCTCCCAGTACGTTTCCAAGCACAATTCAAAGTGTTGGTGCTGACTTTTAAATCCCTAAACGGCCTCAAAGGCTCAGCATACCCGAAGGAGCATCTCCACCCCCATCGTCCAGCCTGGACACTGAGGTCCAGCTCCGAGGGCCTTCTGGCAGTTCCCTCCCTGCGAGAAGCGAGGTTACAGGGAACCAGGCAGAGGGCCTTCTCGGTAGTGGCGCCCTCCCTGTGAAACACCCTCCCGCCAGATGTCAAAGAGAACAACAACTACCAGACTTTTAGAAGACATCTGAAGGCAGCCCTGTTTAGGGAAGCTTTTAATGTTTGATATATTGCAGTATTTTAATATTTTTGGGGAAGCCGCCCGGAGTGGCTGGGGAAGCCCAGCCAGATGGGCGGGGTATAAATAATAAATTATTATTATTATTAGGGCTTTAACGGTCAGCACCAACACTTTGAATTGTGCTCGGAAACGTACTGGGAGCCATAGCAGGAATAGGAGACTGAGGGAGAACAATGATAAAAGACAGTGGGTGGAACATTTTTCTACCTCTTGTGGACATCCAGTGGAGCTGGGTGTCAGAAGATACAGGGCACAGGCAGCACTGCTGCACTCCCTGAGTCCCAAAGCTCCTGGAGGGCACCGGGTTGGGGAACCAAACAAGGGGACGTTGCAATGAGGCCTCCATGGGGCTCTGCAACACCTAACCACACACAAAATCAGCGATGTTCCCATCTGCTTGAGGCTGAACCTTTTCGCAGCTGTAGCCTCAAGCGGAGGTCAATATGGGTGGCAAGAATCCAACCTGCTTGCTAGAGACAACAAACCCTCGTTTTTGGCCCGTGGGTTGTGCTGTGTTGATCTTCCTGGAGGCCCGCTGGACGCAAACAACGAGGAGGGCTGCATCCCAGAAGCCCTTCCTGTCACGGCCCCTGGAGGGGTGCCAGCTGCCATTGTGGTCTGTGAGGTTACGTAACCAACCTCTGGGCTCGGGAGGCGAGGCTGATTTGCATGGAGATCTGACGTCACACCACCTTTAAGTAAAGAGGTCTCCCTGCACAGAGAGAGAGAGAGAATATCTCCAGAGCAGAATGGAGCTGAAACAACAGCAATAATAATAATAATAATAATAATAAGGAGTTTCCATTGAAATGAGGCTGCATTTTAATGTTTTAATGTTGTATTTTAATCTTGTTTTTAAGTTGTATTTCAATCAATTTGTTTTTATATCGGTTGTTAGCCGCCTTGAGCCGGCTTGGCTGGGGAGGGCGGGGTATAAATAAAAGTTATTAATAATAATAATAATAATAATTTATTACTTATACCCCACCCATCTGGCTGGGTTTCCCCAGCCACTCTGAGTAGCTTAAACCGAATATTAAAAACAATACAGCATCAAACATTAAAAACTTCCCTAAACAGGGCCGCCTTCAGTTGTCATTTAAAAGTAAAACACCATATTTTTTGCTCTATAAGACTCACTTTTTCCATCCTAAAAAGTAAGGGGAAATGTGTGTGTGTCTTATGGAGGGAGTGCAGACTGCGCAGCTATCCCAAAAGCCAGATTCAGAATGTTTTTTTCTTGTTTTCCTCCTCCAAAAACTAGGTGCGTCTTATGGTCTAGTGCGTCTTATAGAGCAAAAAATACGGTAGTTGTTTATTGCCTTGACATCTGGTGGGAGGGTGTTCCACAGGGCAGGCGCTACCACCGAGAAGGCCCTCTGCCTGGTTCCCTGCAACCTCACTTATCGCAGGGAGGGAACCACCAAAAGGCCCTCAGAGCTGGACCTCAGTGTCCGGGCTGGACGATGGAGGTGGAGACGCTCCTTCAGGTCTACTGGGCCTTTGAGGCCATTTAGGGCTTTAAAGATCAGCACCAACACTTTGAATTGCGCTCGGAAACATACTGGGAGCCAATGTAGGTCTTTCAGGACCGGTGTTATGTGGTCTCGGCGGCCGCTCCCAGTCAGCAGCCTAGCTGCCGCATTCTGGATTAGTTGCAGTTTCTGGGTCACCTTCAAAGGTAGCCCCACGTAGAGCGCATGGCAGTAGTCCAAGCGGGAGATAACCAGAGCATGCACCACTCTGGTGAGACAGTCAGTGGGCAGGGAGGGTCTCATCCTGCGTACCAGATAGAGCTGCCCTGGACACAGAATTAACCTGCGCCTCCATGGACAGGCCAAATGCCAAAGCCGCTACAGAATCTTTTACAAAACCGTAACCACAAGTCAGAGGGAGGATGAAAAGCCCCTGCTGGTCAGTCAGGGTCATGAGAGCAGAGGTTTGGGAATACACCTTCCATAGCAGCCCCATCGTGATGGATGTTGTGGATGGAAAGGCACCTTATGGAGGAAAGATTGCACCATTTGGGACCTTTTAGTTTAGAGAGGAGGTGAGCAGGAGGCGACACGATGGAAGTTTATAACATTGTGCTTGGCATGGAGAAATTGGACAGAGAAAAGTCTTCCTCCCCTTCTCGTCACAGTAGAACTCGTGGAAGTCCAATGAAGCTGAATGTCGGGAGATTCAGCACAATTCAAAGTGTTGGTGCTGAACTTGAAAGCCCTAAACGGCCTCGGCCCAGTATACCTGAAGGAGCGTCTCCACCCCCATCACTCAGCCTGGACACTGAGGTCCAGCTCCGAGGGCCTTCTGGCGGTTCCCTCCCTGCGAGAGGCCAAGTTACAGGGAAGCAGGCAGAGGGCCTTCTCGGTAGTGGCACCCTCCCTGTGGAACGCCCTCCCATCAGATGTCAAAGCGATAAACAACTACCTGACATTCAGAAGACATCTGAAGGCAGCCCTGTACAGAGAAATTTTGAATGTGTGACATTTTAGTGTATTTTTCATCTTTGTTGGAAGCCGCCCAGAGTGGCTGGGGAAACTCAGTCAGATGGGCAGGGTACAAATAATAAATTATTATTATTATTATTATTATTATTATTATTATTATTATTATTATTATTATTGGTGGGAAGTCCTTCTTCCCGCAGTGCATAGTTAAAGCTACAGAACTCCTTCCCGCAGAGGCAGTGATGGCCACCAATTTGGACCGGGCAAATTCATGGAGGAGAGGTCTATCAGTGTAGGGTTGCCGTATTTCAAACAGTGAAAATCCAGATAGAAAGGGGTTTTTTTTAGTTTTGCCCAAAGCTCTTTTTGGGCAACATGACACAAAAAATACAGTTACAGATAGGTAGCCGTGTTGGTCTGCCATAGTCAAAACAAAAAAAAAATTCCTTCCAGTAGCACCTTAAAGACCAACTAAGTTAGTTCTTGGTATGAGCTTTCGTGTGCATGCACACTTCTTCAGATACACTGAAACAGAAGTTGCCAGATCCTTCTATATAGTGAGAAGGTGGGGAGGGGTATTACTCAGAAGGGTGGTGGGAATGGGTGATTGGCAGATAGCTGTGATGAGCCTGTTGACGACTCTTAAGGACTGCCAATCACCCATTCCCACCACCCTTCTGAGTAATACCCCTCCCCACCTTCTCACTATATAGAAGGATCTGGCAACTTCTGTTTCAGTGTATCTGAAGAAGTGTGCATGCACACGAAAGCTCATACCAAGAACTAACTTAGTTGGTCTTTAAGGTGCTACTGGAAGGAATTTTTTTTGTTTTGACAAAAAATACAGTTTTTGAGCTATTTTAAGGGGAAATCAGCACTGCTGCTATGGGCTGCCATATCGTCCGGATTTTCCTAGACATTTGGCTGATTTCCGTCCAGATGCTTCTGCTGAAAACAGTATTCCGGATATGTCCAGGAAATTCCAGGCGTATGGCAACCCTATTATCAGCAGTTACTAGCCACAATGGCTATACTCTGATGCTTCTGAATGCTGCTTGCTGGGCTGGGAATCACAGGAGGGGAGAATGTTGCTCTTGTGTTCGAATCCTGCTCGCTGGTTTCCCACAGGTTGGCCACTGTGAGAACAGGGTGCTGGACCAGATGTTGCCGTTTTTGAATCTTGCTGATTTTGGGGGGTTCGTCTGCTCTTATAAGCATTTTATGCAAAACACTCAAGAGATCTTTCTGCTTCGATTGAGGCCTCTAAAAGGTAAAGGGACCCCTGACAATTAGGTCCAGTCGTGGCCGACTCTGGGGTTGCGGCGCTCATCTTGCTTTATTGGCCGAGGGAGCCGGCGTACAGCTTCCTGGTCATGTGGCCAGCATGACTAAGCCGCTTCTGGCGAACCAGAGTAGCGCACGGAAACGCCGTTTACCTTCCCGCCGGAGCGGTACCTATTTATCTACTTGCACTGGTGTGCTTTCGAACTGCTAGGTTGGCAGGAGCTGGGACCAAGCAATGGGAGCTCACCCCGTCATGGGGATTGAGGCCTCTACGTTTTGTTAAATAATGCCACCTTACCTTGCCCAGTGCCCCTTGCAAAACTGAGAAAAGGCACTCTTCTCTCCCTCCTGGTAAAACAAGGGTTTATTCCCCAGATCCAAGCAAAAAATACACTCCAAAACGCCACAAGACACACATACACACTGAAACGTTTGGAAGAAACACCCTGCAGACGTCACAGCATTAAGGAAGTCAGCCTGCAACGCCAGGCCTCTAAGGATCCTTCTTGCGTACAAGTGAAAATGCAAGCCCCACTTAGGTAACAATTTGGTTTTCAGGCTGGGGGGGAAACCGTCTGTGTCCACTGCAGGTCCCACTTCTGCTGTAGGGTGGTTCCGATTCCCACAGAGAAAAGTCCACACTCGGCCAAGGCCAGCAACATTTGTCCTGGAGAACAGTGTTCCAATTTAGCCAGAAAAGGGCGAGAAACGAGGCTCTAATTCAGCGCTGGTGTTTGGTCACGCGAGATGGAGAATTGTGTGTTCCGTGTACGGAGAAACTGCAAACCTTGTGCCCAGTCCAGCCAGCAAAGACTAAACCAGTTTGAAAAGGCGGGGATCCCCCAGTCACTCCTATATAACACAGGACCCCGGGATTCGAGCGACGCGAGTCGTTTCCTGGAAGCAAAGACTCTCTTCCTCACCCAGGGACACCGAGGTTTGGACCGGCGGCTACTCCGGGGCGACGCGGCAGACCCGGATGTGGATGGCGGAGTTGTTCCGGGTTCTGGCCAGCGGCTCGTCGCTGTCCCCTTCCGGCTCGGCCACGTCGGCCAGCTCCACGGTGGACGTGTTGGCAGCCAGGCACAGGGACCCGCTGCCGGTGGCCTCTAGCTGCAGGGCGATGTTGATGGCGCGGTTGATGGCCAGCCCCAGGCCGTGGATGCAGATCTCAGGACAGCCACTGCCGGGTGCAAGAAGCTTCTGGCATCGGCTCAGCTGCGCCTTGAAGTCTGTCTTCATGTTGATGTAGATGTCGCTGCGCCGGCGAGGGAGGCGGCGTGGCAAGCGCCGGCGCAGAGCGTACTCCGTCTGCGTGGGGGGCCCCGGCTCAGACATGGGGTCCTGGGGAAGACAGAGGCGATGGGTGGGAGGTATAGTGGTTAGGATATAATATACAACTGAGTGACTGGGTGAAATTATGGAAAGAAGGTTTAAAGTTTACTGCATGTAATGCATTAAAAGAAAATGTGATGAAAATGATGTATAGATGGTATATCACTCCTGTTGCGTTAGCGAAAATGTATAAAACTAGCAATCAATGTTGGAAATGTAAAGAAAAAGAGGGAACATTCTATCACATGTGGTGGGAATGTAAAAAGGTGAAATGTTTTTCGGAGATGATCCATAACGAGTTGAAATATACATTTACAAAGAAACCATAACCCTTCAGGTTACAGACTCTGCTAACCCAGAAATATTACCTCGAGTTAAGAACTTTGCTTCAGGATGAGAACAGAAATCGCGCTCCGGCAGCACGGCAGGAGGCCCCATTAGGTAAAGTGGTACTTCAGGTTAAGAACAGTTTTAGGAACGAATTAAGTATTTAACCCGAGGTACCACTGTACTTCCCCTTAACCACACTTTCTTATTATTTCCCCCTGACATTATTTATTACCACAATTAATAATAATAATAAAATTTTATTTATATCCCGCCCTCCCCAGCCAAAGCCGGGCTCAGAGCGGCTAACAGCAGTAAAAATAACACAGTTTACATAAAATCACAATCAATTAATTGAAATACATTCTAAAATCAAATTAATGGCAATCATTTACTCAGAAGTAAGCCTCGCTGTGTCTAAGGGAGCTTTCAGCATAAGGCTGTTAAATGGGGATAAAATTGGGGGGGGGGCAGGAGAACCAGGCAGGCCGTCTTGAGCTCCTTGGAGGGGAAGCTGGGTTATAAACCTAATAATAAAATATAAAAGGTTTGACCTTAGTCAGCAGCAGGGTGAAGGCGCCTGCCTAAAAAAAATCAGTGGCAGGGAGTTCCAAAGGACATCGGCTCCTTGCAAGCACGTTAATGAGCAATGCATGTTGCAAATATGATGAGGTCCTCAATCCTCCCCCTTGCTGCACCCACAATTATTCCTTCTGCACCCAGAAACCTCCCCTGCCCCACATCTCTGCGCGCACCCCTCTTTTTGCACCCCACCCTGCGCCCCCTTCCTTCCTTCCCTCCCTCCCTTCCTCCTTGCACCCTTTCCTCACCTTTCCAAGCAGGTCTCCCCAACAAGGCAGCTGCAGGAGGGAATAAAGCAAGCACGCGCACACGCACGCGCACGCTCTCGCTTTCTCCGCACGCTTCCGGTTTCCGCTTGGAACGCTGGCGTGGAACGTTCATACAGCAATGGAACGTCCCGGGGAGGTCGCGCGCCTGGGAAAACATTCGCACTTAGACTTTCGGATAGATAGATACGCGGGGCGCGCGGCTCACGGGGGGAAAAGCCAACCCTAAACTAAGATTATTATTTTTTGCCCTTTTGGAAAGATCCGTCGCTGCGCTCGGGGAACAAAAGGAGTTCATGCAAAAAGAAAAAGAGGCCTTGACTTATTTTATGGCGCATTTCCCCAACTAAGTAAATGAATGAATGAATGAATGTGTGTGTGTATATGTATATATGTATATATATATATATAAATATATCGCAACTCCAGAGTCAGCCACGACTGGACCCAATGGTCAGGGATCCCTTTATCTTTACCTTATATAAACATATAAATATGTTGTTGTTGCTGTTGAGTCGTTTAGTCGTGTCCGCCTCTTCGTGACCCCCTGGACCAGAGCACGCCAGGCCCTCCTGTCTTCCACTGCCTCCCGCAGTTTGGTCAAACTCATGCTGGTCGCTTTGAGAACACCGTCCCACCATCTCGTCCTCTGTCGTCCCCTTCTCCTTGCGCCCTCCATCTTTCCCAGCATCAGGGTCTTTTCCAGGGAGCCTTCTCTTCTCATGAGGTGGCCAAAGTCTTGGAGCCATATATATATATGTTCATAACTGCATATATAAACCACATCTCTGAAACCCCACAGAATGTCCTGAAACCATTTTGTCCCTCCCAAATTGACCTCAGCATTCACAAATCCTGTCTTAAAGCTGTGTTTGAATAGGGTGTGAGCCTGTGACCTGGCTCAGGAACTAAGTATTTGTCATTACAAAAGACTGGCCAGGCTCCCCAGGCAATCCAATCAAGTGACCATTAACAGGTAACCTGCCAGACGGGAGGTAAACAACGACAGGAGATAAACAGTGCACTCAGATTTCTGCTGTAGACCACCCTCTTCTGTGATGTTGGCATGATGTTTCTGGGGGGTGGTCTTGGACTCCAGGGCGGGCAATATAAAATGTCTATATGACGGCAGGCACACCATTGGTTCTGGGTCCTCCTCCTTCCTGGTGTGGTGAGGGAGCACCTGTTGCAACAGTTCAATAAAGATCAGGCTTACTAGCTGCTTTGCTTCTCAATATTCTCTGGTTGGCCTCTGTTATTTCTCCTGACCGATGGAGAACCTGCAAAGGACTCTATAAGGGCTCTTGTGTCCCCCGTAAGGGAATAAGGGCAGACGTTTGTTTATTACAGGTGCCCAAAGGGATTATTTTGCTGGGTGGAAAAGTCATCTCTCCATAGACAGGTCCAGGCGGGTGTGTGCTGTGAGATTTTTCCATGGAAAATTCGGGTGTCTCCGCCACCCAGCTCAATACGCTCTGTTCCTCAACTCACAGTGGAAGGAATGCCCTATCTTCAGCCTCTTCACGCCCCAGTTTTGGGGACTTTCCACCAGGAGAGAACAAGCAACTCGCAAGTCCGGTTGCGAACCACTGCTCTAACCACTACACCGCACTGTCCTGCGGCTTTTTCTCTCTCTTTCACAGAAGGAGAGCCTTATAGATGGATCCGGCCAAGGGCCCGCCTAGCTCAGCATCCTGTCCGCACAGGTGCCCGCCATATGCCCCGATGGGAAACCAGCAAGCGGGATTCGAACCCGTGTCCGCTCCCTTCCTGTGGTTTCCAACAGCTGAGATTCAGAAGCATTGCAGCCTGCCAACTGTGGAGGGCAGAGCACAGCCGCCATGCCTTAATCCTCCGTAAATTGCCTTCTCCTCCCTGGCGCAAGAAGGGTGTGTAGGATCAGGCCCCTCTGGCAACCATCGATAGCCCTCTCCTCTTCCATGGATTTGCCCAGTCCTCTTTTAAAGCCATCTGAGTTGGTGGCTGTCGCCTCCTGTGGCAGGGAGTTCCGCAGTTTATGTGCTGCATGAAGAAGGATGTGGCGGGATTGCAGAGAAATTTTAAAAAAATTGGGAAATGATATGTAATGAGTTGAAGAAAATGTTCAAATTAACAGTTGTAAAAAAATCCTGAAGCATTTCTGTTAGGGATTGTAGGAAAAGACCTGCCAAGGAAAATGAAGAACATGTTTATGTATGCGACAACGGCGGCCAGAGTCTTAATAGCACAAGGATGGAAGAATGTAGAAACCCCGACAAAAGAACGGTGGCAAGAGAAATTGATGGACTACGCGGAACCGACAAAATTGACGCACAAACTATGCGATAAAGGACAACTGTGACTTCAAAGAAGAACGGGAACACCTTTTACAAAGTACTGGTACCTAAAGAAACAACAAAACGAATTGGGACTCCTTGGCAGGTTTTGAATAAACAGACACAAATTTGTCTGTTAATATAATAGATGGACAACTTAGAGATTTTTACATTTTTATAACAGGCAGAGAACAATATGTGTTAATAAATCCGAAAGAGGAACTGAGGGAAGTCGTAGGGGGGTGGGAGGGGGGGAAAATACAATTGTTGGAATAATTTGTTATGTGAAAATAGCCAATAAATAAAAAAAAAGGACTGCTGTTTTATCTGTCCTGAATTTGCGGGATTTCCGCAAGTTACGGGGGAGCCTATCGATTTCGTCTGTCCACTCCAGAAATATTTTTTCATAAACTTCTTACCATTTCTCTAAGCTGTAAAACAGTACCAAACCTTGTTGCATTCCTTCGTGGCTCCATCCTTTTGATCCATGCTGGCTGCCCCCCTCCCTCTGTTTCCACCTGTCCGTCTCTGCTCACCTGTCCTCCCCGCCCCAGAGCAGATCCGACCAGCCGTACAGGTGGGTCGTCGTCCAACTCGCCCCACCCAGCGCTGACCCAGCCCCTCTTCCCCCCGGCTGGTGCTTTATAACCAGGGGGGCAGGGAGAGAGCCCCACTTGCACCATGGGTCTCTGGAACTGCAGGAAGCGGGGCCCTAAGGACAAGGACCCCGAATTCGGACCCCGAAGGCAGACCCCCACGGGGGAAGCTGAGAAGGAGCCCTTGGAGGAGTCGTTTGAGAAGGTCTGGAAGGAACGGGAGCCTGCAAAGCGATGTTCCCAGAGGATTCAGGGGGCTTTGAAACGTAAGAAGAGCCACAGGCAAGGTTTGCGGGGTTGGGGGGGGCGTGGAAATGGCCAGCTTGGGGGGTACTTTGGGGGTGAAAGGTAAGCTAAGCCATGCCTTCAGAGTTTCAACCTGTCACTCTCCAGTCTTGGGTTTCCAGCTGTTTTTTGGACTAAAGGTAAAGGTAAAGGGACCCCTGACCTTTAGGTCCAGTTGCGGACAACTCTGGGGTTGCGGAGCTCATCTCGCTTTACTGGCCGAGGGAGCCGGCGTACAGCTTCCGGGTCATGTGGCCAGCATGACTAAGCCGCTTCTGGCAAACCAGAGCAGCGCACGGAAATGCCATTTACCTTCCTGCCGGAGTGGTACCTATTTATCTACTTGCACTGGTGTGCTTTCGAACTGCTAGGTGGGCAGGAGCAGGGACAGAGCAACGGGAGCTCACCCCGTCATTGCGGGGATTTGAAACGCTGACCTTCTAATCGGCAAGTCCTAGGCTCTGTGGTTTAACCCACAGCGCCACCCGCGTCTCTTTTGGACTACCATTCCCATAATCCCTGAGCACTGGTCCTGCTGGGTAGGGGTGATGGGAGTTGTAGTCCAAAAAAAGCTGGAAACCCAAGACGATTTGGACCACAAAAGCCAGGTGCGCTGGCTGAGGCTGATGTGAGTTGCATGTGAAAAGGATCTAGGGGTCTTGTGTTTAGTCGTTTAGTCGTGTCCGACTCTTCGTGGCCCCCTGGACCAGAGCACGCCAGGCACCCCTGTCTTCCACTGCTTCCGCAGTTTGGTCAAACTCTTGCTGGTAGCTTCGAGAACACTGTCCCACCATCTCATCCTCTGTTGTCATGCTGGCCACTTGACCCAAGGCTGGTGGCTGAAGAATCGATGCTTTTGAATTCTGGTGCTGGAGGAGACTCTTGAGAGTCCCATGGACTGCAAGAAGATCAAACCTCTCCATTCGGAAGGAAATCAGCCCTGAGTGCTCACTGGAAGGACAGATCCTGAAGCTGAGACTCCAAGACTTTGGCCACCTCATGAGAAGAGAAGACTCCCTGGAAAAGACCCTGATGTTGGGAAAGATGGAGGGCACAAGGAGAAGGGGACGACGGAGGACGAGATGGCTGGACAGTGTTCTCGAAGCTACCAGCATGAGTTTGACCAAACTGCGGGAGGCAGTGGAAGACAGGAGTGCCTGGCGTGCTCTGGTCCAGGGGGTCACAAAGAGGCGGACACGACTAAACGACTAAACAACAACAAGGATGGCTACCTGCCAGGGATTCTTCACTTGTGATTCCTGCATCAAGGGGGGGTCAGAATAGATGACCTTTGGGGGTCCCTTCCACCTCTGCAATTCTACGATTCCCAGCTGCAACTCCCAGCTTCACCAGCTGAGGTTCTGCAAAAATATCTGGGGAGTGCCAGGTGGGGGGGAAGGTTGGTGCGGTGGTCTAAATCCTTGGCAGGGCTTTGTCCAGCGTGGAAGGGAAAGGGGGGTCCACATTGGGGGGGTCGGGCTTGAGGGGGCACCCCAGGAACTCTTGTCGGTTGGAGGATGGATGGCGGCCAACAGATTGAGGTTGAATCCTGACAAGACAGAAATACTGTTCTTGGGGGACAGGGGGCGGGCAGGTGTGGAGGACTCCCTGGTCCTGAATGGGGCAACTGTGCCCCTGAAGGACCGGGTGCGCAGCCTGGGAGTCGTTTTGGACTCACTGCTGTCCATGGAGGCACAGGTCAGTTCTGTGTCCAGGGTGGCTGTCTCCCAGCTCCATCTGGTACACATGAGACCCTCCCTGCCCGCGGACTGTCTGGCCAGAGTGGTGCATGCTCTGGTTATCTCTCGCTTGGACTACTGCAATGCACTCTATGTGGGGCTGCCTTGGAAGGTGACCCGGAAAGTGCAATTAATCCAGAATGCGG